TTGCTATAGGGCACGTGCACTCACCAGAGAGAGACAGAGAGACAGAAAGCGAGAAATCACCCCCAAGGGGGGATGGCCACGCCGCAACCCCTTCTCCTCCATTCTCCTCTTGGGATCTTGGGCTCACATGCACACATACCCGGCATGAGTTTTAAGCCACCAGGTCCGGGACATGAACCATGGTCGACTACATGGGAGTCCAGTGACATAGCCATTACGCTAACTGCTGGTCCCCCACTATTACGCATCTTAAAGGTAATGTAGGTAAAATATTTATTATAGTACATGGCATATAATTAGTATTCAGTAGATAGTAATTATATGTAGGGACTGAATATGTGCCACTAAGATTCAGAGATGATATTTTAGTATTTCTCTTACCCATTTTGGTTGATATGTATTGTTTGTGTAATTAAGTCATTAGGCATGAAGGTTTCTTACTAAAAATTTCTGAGTGAAGACCAGCAGGTGGTGTGGTAGTTAAGGACTGGGTCCCACATGGCCCACTACATGATTTGAGTCCCTGACCGGGCTGCTTAAAAAACATGCTGGGGGCCAGCAGGTGGCATGGTGGTTAAGATGCTGGACTCCCAGAAGGCCTGGACCTGATGGCTTGCTGGGACTAGCACATGGCATAATAGTTATGTTGATGAACTCCCGATTCAAGTCTTGAAACTCACGCTAGGTGCATGTGCATGTGTTCACAAGATCCTAACAGAAGAATGGATTGTTGCATAGGCATCCCCCCCCTAGGGGGAGGGGAGGAAGGGTGATTTCTTGCTTTCTGTTTCTCTTTCTCTCTCTCTCTCTGGTGAGAACACACACCTTGTAGTAAAGATCTCTCTCTCTAAAAAGAAAAAATTTTAAAATGTATGCGGGCACATGTCCATGTATGCCCAAGATCCTGAGAGGAAAGCAAAAAAGGTATAGTAGCATAACCATTCGCTTTGGGAGGTGATTTCTTACTTTCCCTTTATTTCTGTCTCTCTCTTCAGTGAGAATAGCAAAAAACTGGGAAAAAAAGATTTTTCTGAGTAAACACAGTTCTCAATCTGAAAACACATTTGGAGATTTAGAAAGAGGAAAAATATGGAAATACAGTAAAAATTTATAAGTGTCTTATATTTTGATAGAATGTTGCCTAGCTCAGCACTGTACTTGAAATCACTTTCACTGAGCTGCATAAACCCACGATAGTACATCACTTTTGTGCTTAAAAGCCTTAAAAAGGAAAAATTAATTATTAAAACGTATGCCTTTTCCTTTGTTGCATTTTTTTTGAATTTATTTATCTACACTCATTCACTATACATCATTACAACTTACAAAATGAGTTTCCCATCCAGAATACCCTGTATATTGGCTCAATCAAGCACATCAACATACGAGTTATCGTCAACAAATAATTTTATTTCTTATTTCCTTTTTTTTTTTTTTTTTTTTTTTTTTTTCCATCTTTGATTCCCTGTCTCTAACCCTCTGCCGTGTCCCACCCTCCCATACTGTCTCTGGTATCCATGGTTGCTTTCTATGTCTTTTCCCCCATTTTATTGATTCACTAATGAACTTAATCTAAATATTTCCAATAGCAAGCACAGCTGATATATACATATCCATGAACACAAGTCTGACTTTAGGCATAAACCTCAGTGAGTAGAATGCACATACTATAAAGTATCACCTAGCTGGGGCTACATAGCTTACTGCAGTCATTAAATATGCATTGTTTTCAATTTCAAGAAAAACAGTTTCCGTGGGTTTTTTTGTCCTGAAACTTTTTTTAAATTAACTTACATTCATCGCCCAAGCATCGTCACAGCATACAAAATGTGATTTCCCATCCAGAATATACTGCATAGTGGCTTAATCATGCATGTTATCATCTATAATTTTCCATTTCTAGTTATATTTACCCCCATGTCTGACCCTCTGTCCTTTCCCACCCTCTTCTCACACTATCTCTGATGTCTACAGTTGTCTTCCATTCCTTTTCCTCCCAAATCTTATTGATCACACAATTTCTTAAATTATCTAACAACTTTCAATAGCAAGTTCAGCTGGTAATTTCAAGAAAAGCAGTTTTGAATTGGTAAGGAAATTTTCTTAAAACTTAAAGCTTGGAAAATTCTGTTCAAATAGTAGGTACGTGAACATATTGACAGCTCAAGACAGGACAGAAAGTCTTTTTTGATTGTTTTGATTTTTAGGTTTTTGCCTATGGCTTGTGCACCCATTGGAGAGAGACTGAGAGAGGGAAAGTGAGAAATCATCCCCCCGAAGGGGGGAATGGCCATGCCACAGTCCCTTCTTTTCCGCTCTCCTCTCAGGATTTTGAGCATGCGCACACACCGGCATGATTTCCTGTCCTGTCCTGTCCTGTCCTGGTTTTTGCCATAGGGTGCATACACTTGCCAGAGAGAGACAGAGACAGTGAAAGAGAAAGTAAGAAGTCCCCTCCCAGGGCAGATGGCCACACTGCAGTCCCCTCTTCTCCATTCTCCTCCTGGGATTTTGGACATGCCTACACACACACCCAGCATGGTTCTCAAGCTGCTAGGTCTGGGACTCGAGCCACTCTCAGCCATGTGGGAGTCCAGCATCTTAACCACTGCCATCGGCCCCACTCCATGTGATTTTCAAACCACTGGGTCCAGTACTTAAATCATAGTGGCCATGTGAGAGTCCACATTAAACACCATGACACCTGCTGGCCCTGTTGGCATGCTGTTTTTTAACTTTTTTATTGAAGTATGCACATATAGTAAATGTACACCTCATCGAATAGTCATATGTGAACACACCCATGTAATCCACTACCCAGAACAACAAATAGATCACCGTGAGTTAACTAGAAACCCTATTCACATCCCTTCCTAATCTTTACCTCTTTCCAAAATTAGTAACTATTAAACTGGCATACATTAGTTTTGCCAGATTTTGAACAGTATGTGTTCTCTGGTATCCAGTTTATTTCATGCACTGTTTTAGTTGTGAGTTATTTGTGTTGCATGTAATTATAGATCAATTGTTCTTTCATTGCTACATGCTATTTTATAAATATACCACAATTTATGCTAATAGGCATTTAGACTTTTTCCCGTGTGGTGCTATTGTGAACAGTGCTGTTAAGAACTTACATATGTCTGTCTTCAGTGTGCATGTATTTTTGAAGTTTATGTATCTAGGACTGAAATTGCTGCCAATTTGCTGCTAATGAATTTTCTGTTTGTTTTGTCAGAAAATTCTCTATTTTCGCTTCTGATATTTTCCTGAGTATTGAATTCCAGACTAGCCATTATTTATTTTCTTTCAACTCATTGAAAATATTATTCTCTTGTCTTTTGACTTCCCTTTCTTTCTTTCTTTTTTTTGGAGAGGTTTTTGCTACAGGGCACGTGAGCTCACCAGAAAGACAGAGACAGAGAGACAGAAAGCAAGAAATCAACCCTTAGGGGGGATGACTATCCTGCAATCCCTTCTCCTCCATTCTCCTCATGTGATCTTGGGCACGCACACACATCCACCCGATCGTCCATTTATTTCTTATTTCTTCTCCTTTGAAGTACTGTTTGTTCTTCCTCTAACTACTTTTAAAATTTTTATATTTGTTTATTGTCAGTGTTATAGTGCTTTGCCTGTGTGTGATTATGTTTGTATGTATTGTTTGGGCTGTTGGGATTCTTGAATTTGTAACTTGACTTTCTTTTTCTCATCAGTTTTAGAGTATTCTCAGTTGTTACCCCATCAGATATTGCTTCTGTCCCATTTTCTGTCTATTCTCTGTCTCATATTACAATTACAGATAAATTACTCTTTTTCACTGTATCCTCTGTCTCTTAAATTGTTTTTGTATTTTGCACTGTGTGTAGGGGGTTACTGTCCCCGTTTCTAGATGTTTTTCTATTCTGTATTCCCCATTTCAGTTTCTACTATGCTATTAAGTCTGTTCTTTTAGCCTTTACTTTTAAGAACTGTGTTTTTCTCAATTGTAGAATTTCATTTTGCTCCTTTATAAACTTTCCAGTTCTCTGTCAAAATTTTCAACCTGGTCATTTTTTATTGAATATACTAAGCATACTTATTATAATGCTGATAACTTAATTATATGAAATCCCTGGAGGCAATTTCTACAGGCTAATGTTTCAGATTTTCATCATATTGTCTCTTACTATTGTTTTTGTGCATGCCACACATTGTATATGAAAAATTACTGGAGGCCCAAGATGGCATTACCTTCCTCTGTAATGAGCTTATGTTTGCTTCTGACGTGATTTGTAGTGGTCCCAAATCACTTTAACCTAATTAGAGATTTAGATAACTTGAAGGGGACCAGCAGTTAGCGTAATGGCTATGTCGCTGGACTCCCACGTAGTTGACCACAGTTCGAGTCCCGGACCCGGTGGCTTAAACTCACGCCGGGCGTGTGTGCATGCGTGCTCAAGATCCCGAGAGGAGAATGAAGGAGAAGGGATTGCAGCGTGGCCATCCCCTCTGGGGGGTGATTTCTCGCTTTTTGTCTCTCTGTCTCTGTCTGTCTGGCAAGTGCACGTGCCCTATAGCAAAAACCTCTCCCCAAAAAAAAGAAAAGATAAAAAGAAAAAAAAGATAACTTGAAGATGGAATACAGTCCCTTTAAGAGCTAGTCTACTAATCTATTTCCTATTTATTCTTTTCCCAGAGGGTGATCTAAGTCCAGATTTCGAGCTTGGGAAGGGTTGCCAATACCTCTTCCTTCTTGGCATGCCTGATACTCTTAATTTATATTAGAAAACTCAGCTCTAAGACTCTAGATTGACTTAATCAGTGCCCTGTTTGTAATTACCTTCTCCAGGATCTCCGCCTACATAATTGGTTACTGCCTTGTTAGCTCTCTGATGCTTATAAACAAATGATTTTTCCGCAGTTGTTTTCAGTTCTCAAAGAGAGTACTGATATCTTGTCTGCTATTTCGAGGAGCAGAATTTCATGTTATATAGCATTTGCTCATTTAAATCTTTTAATCCCCTGTGTTGATAAAGCATTTGGGAATTTACAAAATCCCTTTGTATATATCTTCTTTTATAAACAAGATATTATTAAACATGTGAGAAAACTCAAAAAGAGACCAGATGACTCAAGCAAGTCCACATCAGCCTAACGACTGAACTGATACTCACATTTAAATCTTCTAGTCAGTAATTCTCAAGTCCAGTGTAAGCTCTTGTATTTTAATGTTTTTTTGTTCTAGCTATCAGGAAAACAATGTAAATTCATGATTCTATTTTGCTTTGTTTAAAATGTGATTCAGCATGATCATCCTGCCTTTCCACTGATAGATTCAAGTTCCCAGAACCAGATAAGAAAACGCATCGTACTTGAAAAATTAAGTAAAGTGTAAGTATGTAATAACTTTGTAATATTTTTATATCAACTTGATATTTATAAGTTGATCATTTGTAACTTATTCTTGAATTTTGAACATTTTGAAAAATAATGTGGAGAGTTTACATTTTTTTCACTTGGGAAATTTAGATTTTCTTAAAGATATTTTATCCAGGAAATACTAGATGTTGTGTAGAAGACACAGGGGCACATGGTAAAGAGGAAGGCTGAACTTTTGGGAGTAAAAAACCAAACTGTCTCACTCTAACTTAATAAGCCAGTGAACTCAGGAGAAAAAATGTCAAAGCTAGACCCATTTAAGTATTGATTTATGATGAACGTGTCATATCAGTTTCACATGTGAATGAGAGATTGGTATAAAGTTTTACTAGTCTGTTTATTCATGCTACATACTTATTCATAGAACGGTTTTACACAGCAACTTGAGTGTTTGTTCACCTCAACTCTGCACTTTAGCGTTAAGCTTCTCATAGTGGAAATTGTTCTTGTTATTAACCCAGTCATAAAAATAACATTTAAAAATTTCTATCCTGTTTCTCTTTCAAAAGAAGTGTGAAATCATTTTTCCAGAGGTGGCAAGACTATCTTGAACTTTTCAGTCTGTGAATTTTTCTTGAACAGGAAATATGGAAAGGTGTGTCAATCATTACTTAAGGTGTTGTAAATAGGCAGAAGCCTTAATTTTGTAGCAATTTCAAAATAAGAAAATTCTAGGGACCAGCAGTTAGCGTAACGGCTATGTCGCTGGACTCCCACGATGTGGTTCGCATCCTGGACCCAGTGGCTTAAAATTCATGCCGGGCGCATGTCCGTGCGTGCCCAAGATCCCGAGAGGAGAATGGAGGAGAAGGGATTGCAGCATGGCCATCCCCCCTGGGGGGTGATTTCTCGCTTTCTGTCTCTATGTCTCTCTGTCTGTCTGGCGAGCGCACACGCCCTATAGCAAAAACCTCCCAAAAAAATAAATTCTATGTTCTGGAAATCTCAATATTTTGTACAGCTCAAGTATAAAGCATTACTTATAATGGGATAGGAGGGATGATTATTTTACTTTAAAATATATATTTCAAAGCAACAATTGAAATCATTTTGATTGGTTCGGTATCTTGATTTAGTCCTGTAATTTAAAAAAAAAAAAAGATTGAGGAAGAACTAACTCCTCTAATTTTAAAATTTTAAATAAATATTTAATATTTATTAAGTGCCTGCTCCATGTTAGGTTCTTTGTATATAATTAATTTGTTATCTGTCTTCATAATCATACATTTTTTTGGTCATATGTTAGTTTAAAAATAGTATAAGGGGCCAGTAGATAGCATAGCAGTTATGTCATTGGATTGCCACATGGTCAGCCACAGTTCGAGTCCCGGACCTGGTGGCTTGAAACACACAGGGCACATGTGCGTGCATATCCAAAATCCCGGGAGGAGAAGGGATTGTAGCATGGCCATCCCCTCGAGGGGTGATTTTTCACTTTCCCTCTCACTGTCTCTGTTTCTAGCAAGTGCACATTCTGTAAGGCAAAAACCTCTACCAAAAAAAAAAAAGTAAAAGTCACCATATGTCAGATTCTTAGGGTAAGAAAATAACTTTCTTGACTTCAGTTACATAGGTTTTTAAAGTTGAGGTGGGGGGCAGCAGGTGGCGAGGTGGTTAAGGCACTGGACTATCACATGGCCAGCCACAGTTCAAGTCCTGGACCTGTGGCTTGCTCTCTCACTTGCTCATACACGCTCTCTCTTTCTCTCTCTTCTCCCTCTCTGGCGAGCGCACGTACCCTATGGCAATTTAAAAATAATAATAATAATTAGTAAAATTAAAACTAAAAGAAAGTAAGTTGAAGTGGATTAACATGTATTCAATAGATAGAGATTTAGGTAGAAATAGTTTTCTAGACTTTTTAGGTAATGAAAGTATCCAGTTTTAAATGAAAGACTTGTAGGCATGTCATTGAAAGTACTCTGAAGACACCAAAGGGAACCCTGATAGTAGACCAAATTATGGATATTTACACAAGAACCACATTTGAGAAGGAGTGTATGAAATTATTTAAAGAAAAAGGACAGTGGGACCAGAAGTTAGTGTAATGGCTATGTCACCAAACTCCCATGTAGTCGACTATGGTTCAAGTCCCAGACCCTGTGGCTTAAACTCACGCCAGGCACTTGTGCGTGTGTGCCCAAGATCTTGAGAGGAGAATGGAGAAAAAGGGATTGCGGCATGGCCATCCCCCCTGGGGGGGTGATTTCTCACTTTCTGTCAAGCACACGCACCTTGTAGCAAAAGCCTCTCAAAAAAAGAAAAAGAAAGAAAAGAAAAAGGATAGTGAACATTGAAACAAAACTGTATGGTGATGGGGATTTTTTGTTTATTAAAGCAGTAGGGTTTTCTCATTATAAAAGTAACTCCTGATAGAATTTTTATTTTAAGTAAAGAAAACTTTAAAGGTAACATCTGAAAACAATTTTTAATTTCCCATTTTAACAAACTAGTTGTAAAAGTGTATTTTAAAAGATAATCTGAGGAAATATGTGCTTAGCTATTGAGTTCATTTGGTTAGGTATCATTTTATTGTGGTTGTGTTTATAGATACAAATGGAAATAAGAGTCAATGTCATGATGCTAGGGATTTACTTTAAAATGCTATCACAAAAAAAGGAAGGAAGGAAAATTTAAGCAAATGTAGCAAATACTTAGAGGTTGAATCTGAAAATGGATACATGAGGTTACTGCTATTATTCTCTTTTTTGAACTATGTTTGAAACTTCCATAATAAGAAATTTTTAAATTTTTTTAAAAATTATTTATTTCCATTTGTTATTATCTTTTTTTTTTAATTTAACGAAACAGAGAGAGAGAGAGGGAGAGAGAGAGAGAGAGAAAGGGAAAGCGAGAAAGCAAGCTACCAGGTCTGGGACTCAAACAGCAGTCAGCCATGTGGGAATCCAGCACCTTTAGCCACCATGCCACATGCCAGCCCCTATACTAAGAATTTTTTAATTAATATATGAATATTACAGAATATTCAAGCAGTACAAAATGATATAAAGAAGGAAGTGAAAAACTACTATAATTTCACCACTCAGTGACAACCATTATTAGTACTTTGATGTTTATTCTTGATATATTTGATATGTAGGATATATTTATGTTCAAACTCCTTGGTTCCCTTTAATATAGGATAAACCTACAATGAAGGAAATGCAAGAGGACATCAAAAAGTTCGTAGAAAAAATTGATTAAAAATATAAATTTTATTTCTCAACATAAGGTTCATCAGGTTCCAAAAACTTTTGTAAGCAATGATGCCAGTGATATAGTTCATACCTAAAAATCTGAGGGTCTTAGGAATGTAACTATACTAATTCAGTCTTTTGTATATTATTTACTATAGAAAAGTGGATTCCCTTTTAAAGATTTTTAAGATTAGGAAAAGTCATGGAGTTGACACATGGTGTGGTGGTTAAGGGCGCTGGACTCCCATATGGCCAACCACAGTTTGAGACCTGAACCTGGCAGCTTGCTCGTTCTCTCTCACACACACACACTCACTCTGTCCCTCTCTGGTCAAATTAAACAAATAAATACATAAGTAAAGTAATTATTTTTAAAAAAATGATTAGGAAAAGTCAGATGAAGCCACATTAGGACTGTAAGTTTGGATGCTTAATAATCTCCCATCAAAACACTCACAAAGTTGCCTTTGTTTGATGAGAGGAATGAGTAGGAAAATTATTGTGGAGAAGGACTCTGGTGAAGTTTTCCCGAGTATTTTTCTACTAAAGTTCAGCTAACTTTCTAAAAACATTCTCATTATAAGCAGATGGTAATGTTCTTTGGCCCTCTAGAAAGTCGACCATCAAAATGCTCTTAATAATCTCCCATCAAAACACTCACAAACATGCCTTTGATGAGAGGAATGAGTAGGAAAATTATTGTGGAGAAGGACTCTGGTGAAGTTTTCCCGAGTATTTTTCTACTAAAGTTCAGCTAACTTTCTAAAAACATTCTCATTATAAGCAGATGGTAATGTTCTTTGGCCCTCTAGAAAGTCGACCATCAAAATGCTTTGAGCATCTGAAAAAACTGTTACCTGCAGGTGGCATGATGGTTAAGGTGCTGTGCACCCATGGCCAAACAGTTTGAGAAAGGAAGGGAAAATGAAGCAAATGTAGTAAAATATTGGAAGGTTGAATCTGAAAATAGATACATGAGGTTATTGCTCATGTCAGCCTTGACCCAGCGGTTTGACTGTCACACTGGGCACACGCGCATGTGTGCTTAAAGTCCCAAAAAGAATGACGGAGAAAGGATTGTGCCCTGGCCATCCCCACTGAGGAGTGAGTTCTCACTTTCCCTCTCTCTGTCTTTCTCCATGAGCATATGCACCGAAGGCAGAAGCCTAAAAACAAAGCCCAAGAAAAACCTATTGTGACCTTTGCACTAGACTAGTCTGATTGCTTTGACTGGACTACTTCTACCTCTTGGAAGCCATTGCTTTGTGCTTTGTCTTCGAGATCATACTGATAAATCCATATTTCATCTCCTGTTCCAGTTCTTCAAAGAAATGCTTCAGAATCAGATCTTTTGTAAATTTTCCATTGAAAGCTCTACTCACCTGTAGCTGATCTGAGCACAATTTTGGCATCCATTGAGCAGAAAATTTACTCACTTTTAGCTTTTCAGTCATAATTGCTTAAGATGAACCAGTTGAGATATCTGTGGTGTCGGCTATTTTTTCTGCCATTAATTGCTGGTCCCCTTCAGTTAGGGCACAAGCAAGATTCATTTTTGCCTTGCAGGTTTATGTGGATGGCCTGCAACATCTTCAACATTATCTTTACCTTCTTAAAATTAGTTATCAATTTGAAAACTGCTGATTTCTTTGAATTCTTGTCTCCATACACTGTCTCTAAAGCCTCAGTGATCTCACCATTCTCTCACCCAAGCTTCACTATCAATTCAGTGTTCTTCAGTTTTAACAGAATTCAAGTTGCTCTGATAGGGGCTCTTTCAAGTTGTCTTACCCCTCTTAGTACCTCAAACTAGATCCTGTTTAGAATTGTTTTAATAGTACAAGTTTATTATGGTGCAGAAAAATTTGAAATCTGTGCACAGGTTTTTATAGTACACATTTACCATGAACTTTTTGAAGACCTTCCTGCATGTCTTTGATACCTGATATGCATTATATACACAATAGCATTGTATAACATTTGTTTTCTTAATAAAAATGGGATAATATTATTTATACATTTTTTATTTAACATTTATCATGACTATTTTCCCACATTAAAAATATTCTCATTATTTTTTAAGGGTTCTATTATGTTCTATTAAATAGGTATATCATAAATTATTTAACAGATCTTCTATTGGTAAATATTGTTTCCAGTTTTTCATTACTAAAATATTTCTGCAACAGATTTTTTTTTTTATGTTTACCTGATTTTTTTTAAAAAGAATTTATTTATTTTTAATTTTTACTGTAGGGCACATGCACTCACCAGAGAGAGAGGGAAAGTGAGAAAGCAAGCTGACAAGTCTGGGACTCAAACAACAGCTGACTATGTGGGGGTGATTTCTCACTTTCCCTCTTTGTGTCTCTCTCTCTGGCAAGTACACATGCCCTATGAGAAACACCTCAAAAAAAAGTTAATATGTATTGTCAAATTGTTTACTAAAAACATACTAATTTTCATTCCCAACATGAGAATTTGATAAGCTGAAATATACAGAATATACAAAATTCCTCAGTTTGACCATTTAGGGTACAGTCCAATAGCCTTGTGTTCTTTCCATCTTGGTCTAATATCTAAAAGTAAACAGGTAGGGAAAACTAGGGACAAGAATATAGACTGAAGCCAAAATGACTTTGCATTTGAGTGTTTCACCCTCTGTAACATAGACTGCAAGATGGAATGTGCTCATACTGGGACCAGCAGTTAGCATAATGGCTATGTCGCTGGACTCCCATGTAGTTGACCACGGTTGGCGTCCCGGACCTGGTGGCTTAAACTCACGCTGGGCATGTGTGCGTGTGTGCCCAGGATCCTGAGAGGAGAATGGAGGAGAAGGGATTGCGGTATGGCCATCCCCCCTGGGGGGTGATTTCTCGCTTTCTATCTCTCTGTCTCTGTCTGTCTGGCGAGTGCACGCGCCCTATAGCAAAAAAAATAAAAATAAAAATAAAAAGATGGAATGTGGAGATACTAAAAAATGTTTCCTTGTGCTTCTGACCAGTCATAACTTGTTTTTTTAAAATCATGACTTGGGACCAAAAGATGGTGTATTAGTTACATCACTGGGCTCCCATTTGGCCACTGTGGTTAGAGTCCTGGACCTGCTGGCTTGGAAATCACGCTGGGCACATGTATGTGTGTGCCCATGATCCTGGGAGGAGAATGGAGACGGAATTGTGGTGTGGCCATCCTCCCTGGGGTGTGGTTTCTTGCTTTTCCTCTCACTATGTCAGACAGAGTGCACATGCCCTAAGGCAAAAACCTCTAGTTTTATATATATATGTATGTGTGTGTGTATATATGAATAATCCAGACTTTGGTATGACTCAAACCAAGAAAAATATAAAAGAGAATACAACTTTAAAGAAATGTGATGTTCTCTTTTCAGATTGCCTGGACTTTTGGGTCCTCTTCAGATTACATTAGGAGATATTTCCACAGAGCTTAAAAATCTTGTCCGAACTTTCAGGTTAGTTATAATACTAAGATTCTCTTTCTCTATTATTTTGACTATATTGATTGCCTTGCAGAATCCATAGACTAAGTTATGAAGAAAGTGATGTATACCTTCAGTGTCTTAGATCTAAGTTACATTGCTCTATCTTCTCCTCTACTAACATTATTTCTGTGTTTTATGAATATCACCCCCTATTTGCTCACACTTTAATAACACATCAGAGTTTATTTATGGAATAGCTTAAAATTAAAGAGGGAAATTACGACACAAAGCCAGTAACACTGTGGATTTTAACTCAGTAGTAAATGTCAGATGACCAGCACTGTGCTAGGCACCAGGGATGATACGAAGGAAGTGGGATATATATATTAATAAATAAAATCATGATTGTCTCTGCCTAAGTGCTGTCATGGCCTTTGAATAATCCAGACTTTGGTATGACTCAAACAGTGGTGATATATAATTAAATTTTATCTTTAAAGAAATGTGATGTTCTCTTTTCAGATTGCCTGGACTTTTGGGTCCTCTTCAGATTACATTAGGAGATATTTCCACAGAGCTTAAAAATCTTGTCCGAACTTTCAGGTTAGTTATAATACTAAGATTTTCTTTCTCTATTATTTTGACTATATTGATTGCCTTGCAGAATCCATAGACTAAGTTATGAAGAAAGTGATGTATACCTTCAGTGTCTTAGATCTAAGTTACATTGCTCTATCTTCTCCTCTACTAACATTATTTCTGTGTTTTATGAATATCACCCCCTATTTGCTCACACTTTAATAACACATCAGAGTTTATTTATGGAATAGCTTAAAATTAAAGAGGGAAATTACGACACAAAGCCAGTAACACTGTGGATTTTAACTCAGTAGTAAATGTCAGATGACCAGCACTGTGCTAGGCACCAGGGATGATACGAAGGAAGTGGGATGCATACTCTCAAGGAAGAGCTTTCCCGTGAAAAGATCAGATGCACACGAAGAACAAGACAAGACTTTGGGTAGGAATATATCTAGGATTCATAGTTTAAGACAGTTCTTAAAAATACTTAGCTTAGCTACTGAAAAGAACCATGTGTAAGACTTTACACTTAAATATTTTGCCTTTTTCAGACTCAAAACTGTCTTAAAGCATTCTTTTTAGAGTTTTGTGAAGTTTGACTAAAGAAAATGTGTTTAGGTTACATCATTTTTTTCCTAACAGTTTTGTCTTACACTTTATTATTATTATATCTTGATTAGAATTTTGGATTATATATGTTTATGTAATTTAAACATTTTTCCAACCTTTTGAGGTTACATTTTTTTAAATTCATCATCACAAGATGTGAAGAATATCTCAGTAAGACTTGTTCTTGAAAGATATATGACTTAAGTGGAAATAAATCACTACAATTTTAATATGGCTGTTTTTGTTTTAAGTTCAGGAATATCAGAAATGATCCCGAGACTGGTGTAGGCCTTTGGAAGATTAAGTTAATGCTTTGCCAGAAAAGAGTTTGGGCCAAGTAAGGCCAAAGCTGAACTTCTCTATATCCCTGTTAGGTAAAGAGAATCAGTAAGTTTTTGAGATGCTCTATCTTACACCTACCACAGAATCATGGGGAGAAAGTGTGTAACAACTGTCTGCCCTGGTGATTAAGTTTGAATAGATATACACAATGTGAAAATGGTGAAGTTTAAGATTTGTTCAGGATTTATCAGGGAGTGAAAACATTATAAGCACAAAGTTGAGTTAAAGAAGACAAATAACAGGTGCTGCTCTTTGTTTTGTTGATTTTTAATTGTCTAACCATTCAGCTTTCTGCATTCAGTGCTTGCTCAATCTCCATTCTGAGCAAACTGATAAAGTCACTGAAGAGTATCTATCAGAAGAGATAATAGAATAATGTCCGATCTGATCTTGAGCTACACATTTTTTTTATTTACCATGCTCATCTAGAATAGATTAACTAGCAATTTAATTTATTTTGACTATATTTCCTAGAGCAATTTTTTCTGCAGATCTGATTGGAGATAGATAGATAGATAGATAGATAGATAGATAGATAGATAGATAGATAGAGATATTTTAGAGAGAGATTTTTTTGCTACAGAGCACATGCACTAGCTGGAGAGACAGGGAGAGACAGAAAGTGAAAAATCACCCCCCAGAGGTGATGCCACAATCCCTTCTCCTCCATTTTTCTTTCAGGATTTTGGGCACGCATGCACACGTGCCCTGTGAGTTTTAAGCCACTGGGTCCATGACTCAGACCATTGTCAACTACATCAGAGTCCAGCTACATGATCATTATGCCATCTGCTGGTCCCAGGGTGTCGATTTTTAAAAAACCTATTCTGAGGTTCTCAGAACTTACTACAAGCACATGGGGGAAAAATAAGACACTTATTATAATTAGTGAGATTTGTTCAAATTTAGGTACTGATTTAAATCACCTGGGGATCCTTAAGACCTTGACAATGTGGGTCCACCCTTACAAATCATAATAGACAGTTTGGGTTTAGGTGTTTATATGGTAGACTACTCATGTTTCAGAGAAAGTCTCTGGTTTTTTCTCAGCCTCTAGCTTCCCAGAATCTTGGGAGCCTACACACACACACAGCATGTTTTCATGGATCTGAGCCAGCAGTCAGCCATAAGACTTGCAGCCTTTCTGGGCACCTGTGTTACTGCTATTCCATAGCGGTTGGGCCTTAAAGAAAGTTTTAATTGTCTAATTTAGTAAGAAAGTGACCAGATGGGGGACCAGCAGATGGAGTATTAGTTACATCTCTGGACTCCCATGTAGTCGACCGCAGTTTAAGTCCCTGATCCGGCAACTTAAGCTCACTCCAGGTGCATGTGCATGCGTGCCCAAAATCCCTAGAGAAGAATGGAGGAGAAGGGATTGTGGCCATCCCCCTTAGAGGGGTGATTTCTCACTTTCTGTTTCTCTGTGTCTCCAGCAAGCACACATGGTCTATAGCAAAAATCTCTCTAAAAGAAAAAAAAGTGACTAGGTGGAAGGCTAGTACAGAAGACACAGACTTTCCATACTAAAGCAAGAGACCTTAAAGGCAGTAGAAGAAATTGCCTTTATTCTCCTCTCTTATAACTTTTCTTTGAGGGAATGAATTTACTCCTTTAATCAACAAATGTTTTCAAATTCCTGTTAAATGTCGGGCCCTGCACATACTGGGATATAATTTCTACCTTAAGCATTTACTATTTGTTATGGAAGACAGTTATTAAATAGTTACATACGCACTGTTATATACTTGAAATTTGTTAAATTATGTGTTCTCACCTCCACACATACACACAGAATGGTAACTGAGGTGATAGATGTATTAATTAGCCTGATTGTGATCAGCATTTCACAGTGGAGGCATATTTCAGTTTACATTGTACAACTTAAATGCATATCATTTTTATTTAGTTATACCTCAGAGCTGGAAAATAAAGTAGTTACAGGTGTAACTCATTGTTCTTCAGTCCTGTAACGGCTAGCTAGCAGACTAGAGATGACAGCACTCTAATATCTTTTTCCTTTTATGTTTATAAACTATATTCATCTTTTTTCTGTCATTCCTACCATGTAACTGTTAAATCCCTTTCAGTTACTTTCTATATTATTTACATTAAATTAAAACCTAGATGAAATAATGTCTGAGGTTTGTTTCACAAATTATCTAGGTTAAGGATGGTGTTGAATATGGGGTGGTATATATAAAACACAACTGGTCAGGCATTGATAATTGATGTTTGTGACATAATATAAACTCACAGGAGGTTTATATTATATTCTAACTACTTTTATATGTGTTTGAAATTTAATAAAATCCGGAAGAAATAGGCTCAAAATATGCATTATTTTGATAGGAGATATTATAGAATTCTGTTCTAAAAGCCTGATGTTAAATTTTTTGTTAATTTTTAATCTTTAGTACTTGTCAAAGACTATAGCTTTAATAAAATTGCCTTAATTGCCTTTGTTACCTTTTAGAAAAAGGCTTAGGGTACATGGTGACTTCTGGTACAATAACTGATTTGGGGTCTTCACATCCTCACAATACAACTTCAGCCAGGGTTTCTAGGTGAAGCCTCTGGAAAAAATGCTATTGATGACAGTGACTGATGTTCAGAAGGCTTTTCAATCAATACTGACAGTAGGGAAGAGTGGACATAAATAACCATATCCTTCTCTTTGAAATGCTAATCAATAATAGGAACTTGTAGAACAGTGATTCTCCAGCCAGTTGTGCATCCAAATTACCTGGGGAGCTTTTAACAACTACAGATGTCTGGCCCCACCCCTGGAGACCAAGTTTCATTTGGTTAGGGTTGGGCCCAGACATTAGTGTTTTTTAAAAGCCCCCCAGGTGATTCTAATGTACAGTCAGAGTTGAGAGAGCCTATTTTAGAATCCGAACATAAAGCAGCTTTTTCAGCTCTTTGAAGAATCTTTCCCCGGTGAATAGAGCTGTCCTTTCCACTGAATTGCATCACAGTCTGTTATCTTCAGTGTTACTGTTGGTTTAGCTGTTATGGTAATTCCATCAGAAACTGCTTGGCCAAGGATTCATTATTAACAATGTTGAATCAGGATACTTTCCTAAATCAGATTTGAGTTAAAATTACATTTTGATACAAAAGTCCTTTTTTACTTTCATCAGTGATGAATCAAAGTATTTTTCTAAATCTGCATTGAACTTCAAACTATATTTTGAAAAGGTGCTTTTAAAATATTTCCCGTTAAGGACCAGCAGTTAGCGTAATGGCTATGTCGCTGGACTCCCATGTAGTCGACCGCGGTTCGAGTCCCGGGCCCGGTGGCTTAAACTCACGCCGGGCATGTGTGCATGCGTGCCCAAGATCCCAAGAGGAGAATGGAGGAGAAGGGATTGTGGCATGGCCATCCCCCCTAGGGGGTGATTTCTCTCTTCCTGTCTCTCTGTCTCTCTCTGTTTTTCCAGCAAGCACACACACCCTATAGCAAAAACCTCTCAAAAAAAAAAAAAAATTCC